GCAGGCGCAGGCGCAGCGGGCGGAGAAGTAGAGGCCGCGCGCCCTCTGGTGGCCCCGAGAGGAGCGGCGGCCACGCCGCGCAGTACTGTGCCGGCGCGCGCAGGCTTGTTTGTGCAGACCCAGGCCACCCAGGGCCCGGGTCTGGATAGTGACAGACGTCACAAATATCACGTCCCCTGTCAGTCAAGTCATGTGACACAGGCAAACGTCAACACACAACTGTAATGATACTAGTAATGGTGACCATCTATAACTCTAAATGAGATAGGCACTCTGCTAAATATCCTAAACCACATTTGTATCCCCAACATCTAACCCAAGACCTGGCATATACTAGATGCTCGTTAAACACGAATTGATTAAATGAGTCCAACTACAGCCCTGTAAGGTGGTTAATGTTACTACCGTTTATGGATGAGAAGACTGTACAGTGGGAGAGCTGATGTCCAGTTTAACCAGTCCCACCTGTAATCTGAACGCACCCCCTCCCCGCCGCCGCCAACGCCGCTTCTTCCACAGAAGGCTGAGGTGTGCAGTCCGCTACTGACAGGAACATGCACAAAGAGATTTACCAACAGTAGAACATCATTATTCTAGAATTAGCTCAGAGATGTTTTATTTTTCTGCAGTTTCATAGTCTCCCGTGCATCAACACTTGGCCATCATAAACAAAGAGGCAAAATGCCATCTTCCCGGATCAGTAAATGTATGTACATGTGGTAGTTGCCGGCATGGGCTCTAGAATCAAAGCCGGACGCAAGGATCCCTGAATTCCTGTGTGTACCGCAGCGTGTATTGACTTTCTCAGGCAGTTTGCATTAAAATTGGGAGGGGGAGATTAAATGATCGAATATACAAATAATTGTTTACTTACAAAGCAAAGTAGGGGTTACTAAGAAAGTGATTAATAGGGAGCATTAACCTGGTGTGAGAAGTTAGGAAAGTTTATCTGAAGAGAGGACATTAAATCTAAGAACTGAAGAAGGAGCAGCTGAGAAGGGTGACAGAGCTCTGAGCCGAGAGTAAATCACATTCAAATGTTGCAGAAGAGGGAAATGTCACGTCTTGGGACCCGCAAGGGTCCTTAGGACAAGCCACCAAGTTGAGGATTCTTGGCTTCGCACAGGAAAGAATTCAAGAACGAGCCAAAGAAAAGCGAGAGTGAGTTTATTTAGAGAGATACACACTTTATAGGCAGAATGTAGACCTTCTCAGAAAGTGAGGGTGGTCCCAGGGCACAACGAGGTCGAAGGTTTTTATGGGTTAAGTAATTTCATAGGCTAACGAGTGGGAGAAATATTCTTGCTATTTCAGGGAAGGGTGGGGATTACCCGGGAATTGGGCCACTGCCCACTTTTTGGCCTTTTATGGTCCACCTCAGAATTGTCATGGCATAAGGGGGAGTGATTTTTAGTATTACAGTGAAGCTATAATGAGCTAAAGGTCAATGACCAGGCTATTCTCAAAGTCACCTTGGTTTCAGCTGGTTTCAGCCAGTTCCAGCCAGTCTTTATCAAATCCCAACAGCTTCATTTGTCTAGCATTTGTGTCCTGCCCCTTTCCCTCCTGTCTCACAAAGGGTCCTAAGGAGCTTGGCTCTTTCCAGGAGCTCGAACAGGTGACACTGGCCATGGCAAAATGTCAGGATCTTCGGACTATTAAATCTCAGATTTTATCCTGAGGTCAACGGGAAGCCGCTGAGGGTTTTTAAGCAATGGATTGATTGGATCAGTTATATGTATTGTGGCAATCATTCTGCCTGGCTGCTTTGTGGAAAATCATTTGGAGCAGGGAGGAGAGTTCAGAGGCTATTTCAGAAATTCAGACAAGCAATCGCATTGGCTTGAAATACACTGCATTGGCACCTGAGAGGAGCAGACAGATTCGAGAATATTTTAGGGAGAATCAACAGGAAATGGTGTCTGACTATTGACTTCTAGGCAGGGCAGGACTACCAAATAGCTCTTAGAGCAACAGCAAAAGAAGGGGCCCTAAATTATTTTGGAAAGGATTTGATATTTTTTTAAAAGCATCATAATAGTCACAGTGGGAAAATCAGAATTTCAGCGACTCACTTTTGTTATGATATGGTTTAGTTTAGTTATGATATTTCTGAAATCTAGTAAAGCACATTTTCCTGCTGAGCATTCCCAAAGGTACTGATGCAACCCCATTCCCAGGTTCCAACATAAGCAAATAGGGGGAGGGTGGCACCATGTACCATGGGGAATGCAGAGGAAGGAGCAGGAGGGGTTGAAGTTCAGTAAGTAGAGGGGGGAGAACTTGACAGCCCAGCCTTGTGCACACTAAGACATCAAAGTGGAGGCGAGGAACTGAGCCGGCAACTGGTGAGCAGAAGCTCCAGACAGAGGTACCCATTTGGGGGATGCCTGGGTCTATGTAGTGATAACAGCCTTGGCAAAGACTGCTCGGTGGAAGACTGGGAAGTGACTATAGAATGAAAAGGAAAGAGAGGCTGGGATGAGTTTGTGACGAGGGCTAAAATTTAATTGCCCAGTAACAGATGATGAAGCTGGAAAGGAGACAGAGTGACCAGAGATGAAGAGCCTACAGAATGGGGTTTCAACAGGAGGGTGTGGGCAATCTTGTCAAGTGGATGCTGAGAAATGATGTTAGGTGCAAACTGTCCACTGAACTCAGCCGTGCGGAGATCATGGTGTTGAAAATAGCCGTTAGGTAGAGTGATGGAAGAAGAACCAATATTGGAGTAGTTGGAGAGTGGGGGACGCTGAGCGAAAGAAGTGAGGCTGAACGCTTTGGAGGAAGGAGACAGAGATGGGCTAGGAGAGGAGGGAGAAGGGAGATAGTGGTTGGAGGAGGAAGGGAGGTGGATGGAGGGCTCTTGTTAAGCGTGGAGAGACTTGGGAATTCTGAGAGGCAGACTGAATAGAAGGGGAGAAACACACAGATTCAGGAGAGTGAAGGAATAATCACTGATGTAAGGGAGGAAGAGATGGCACCCAGCTCTCATGTGGAGGGACTGGCCTTAGTGAGAAGAGACACTACTTCCAGCATAACAAGAAAGGAAGAAAGCCTCCTTTCACAATAAACTACTGCTATATATGATACATTCACATCTAGATAGCAAAGATACCGTTGACACCTATGATGTAGATACATATCATGTACATCATACTATATAGGACAATATTGTTGTCTGTGTCAGAAGGCTATTGTGGGATACATGTAGAACTCACAGCATGGCACCTGGAACAGAGTCACATGCAGCAGTGTTAAGGCAGTGTCCACTATGCTGACTGTATCCGTCAGTATAATCCAGGCTACGCTGCGATGCAAACAACACCTAAGTCTCAGTGGCTTAACACAAACGAGAAAGTTTCTTTCTCACTCGTGCGGTATGTCCAGTGTGGGTCAGCGGGGGATCCACTCCACCTGGCCACTCAGGGACCCCGGCTACTAATTCAACTACCTTGTACTAATTCAGCTATCTTGTAGCTGCACCCTA